CACGTCCTGCTGGGTGCGTGTGCACGTGCGTGTGCACGTGTGTCCCCTCCCTGGCGGCACAGCAAGCCTGTGCCTTCACCTCCCCACGCAGCCCCGGGGCCATTGAGAGGGGCGAGCAGATAAACGTGGGAGCAATGCTTTGTGAGCCACGAGCCTAGAGCTCCCTCATGTCCTGCGAGCCGGGCCGCCCCCCCTCCCTCGCGCGCCCAGGCTGGTGTGGGGCTGAGAAGCTGTGGCTTCAGTGGAACTGACCACAGAATGCGCTTCCTCGAGTTGCCTCGTGGGACCTGGCAGAGGGTCCCTCACTGCCTTCTCTAAGCTCCGCACAGGAGTGCTCCCCATGCCTCTCTGCTATTGCTGTGTGCGCCGAGCCCCGGGATGGCCACTGTCTGTGGCTCCGCTGAGCTGTCCCTGGCGTAGCCTCGAGCCATGCTCTGGACGGTGCTGAGTGGCTACCAGCTGGGAAGCCTGGGGCCACGGCTTGGGGGGTGCTGTTGCTTTGCAGTTGGGGCACTGTCCTCTTCCCTGTGCCAGGAGTGAGATGAAGCGCTGGATGACGTCACTGGCCCCCAACAGGAGAACCAAGTTCGTTTCGTTCACGTCCCGGCTGCTGGGTAAGTCACCGGGTGGGACGGGGCACCCTTGGCACTCTGGCGCGGCCCTGCCTGGTGGGCTCAGCCCCAGCCTCAGGTGCTCTGCGAACTCTCCCAAACTGTGGTCCGAGAGGCCCACGTGGGCCTCCAAGGAGCTGGGCTTAGCACCAGCCAACAGCAGTGGCGTGGCCCAAACTCTGTGGGCGTTGGGTGGCCAATGAGGAAACCCCCAAGTACTGAGAGGCAGGTACCACATGGACACCAGGAGGTACGGGGGCCCAGACTCCACTGTTCTCTTGGGGTTCCCAGTTGTCCGAAAAGCTTATAAAATGCAAAAGAGCACAAGCCCTTACAGAGAAGCTGCCAACCCTGATCTGCTCACCTTGTCCTGACCGCCCCAAAGCCGCTCCCAGGGCCACGCCCCAGGTACAAGAAGTTCCTTCTGCAGTCTAAACTAAGAGCCACCGCACAGCCCACTAATGCCTTTATCTGTGCGGTTTTTCCCCCAGAACTATTTTAATGTTTTCTTTAGAAACAAACCCTCCTCTCCCTCGAATGAACTTTTTCAGTAGCTGTGGGAGTCCATTTTCCTATTTTAGGCAGGGCCCAGCCCCGCGCTGGCCGCGCCGCCCCTAGGGGCCTGCCTGGGTGCGGGCAGGGCGGGTGATGTGGCGGTGAGGACATGCCCCACCTCTGCCCGTCAGACTGCCCCCAGGTCCAGTGTGTGCACCCCTACGTGGCCCAGCAGCCGGACGAGCTCACGCTGGACCTCGCCGACATCCTCAACATCCTGGACAAGACCGAGGACGGTGAGGCTTGGCGACCGCTGCCCCCATGGCCCCCCAGGGGACCCTGCTCTGAGCCTTGCCCAGCCTGAGGGACGAGGATGAGGGGGGTCTCAGCCCTATGTGGAGAGGCAGACGCCACAGCTGGCTGATGGGCAGGTAGAGCCCAGCGCCCGGCCACGTCTCTGCCGCCCACCTGGGATGCTGTGCCCGGCGCCTTGGCCGCCTCCCCTCAGAACCGGAGGGAGGACTTTTCGCAATGCCCCTATTTCCCCCTCGCAGACCCCAGGCCCTGAGCAAAGACGTGGTGACCTCTGGGGGAGGGAAGAGAGAGCCAGGGTACTTGGTGGCTCCTGGTGTCGGCCAGTTCAGCTGACCACAGGAGGCTGAGACTCTGGGAGGAGCTCCCAACAAGGGGGTGACGGTGCAGTCCGGGCCGGGTAACCATGGTCAGCCGCCACCCCTGCCTGGCCCCTTGAATGCCTCTACCTTCACAGGGTGGCCCTTGGTGTCCCCTGGGCTCCTTTGGGGCAGCCTGGAGCTGCCGAGGACGGGGAATGGTTTCTGAGGTTAGCGCAGAGCCAGAGCGTCTCCGCAGGGTGTGCGGAGCAGCTGCACCTTTGGGAGAAGCTGCCTGGAGCCCTGAGTGTCCCCATACAGGAGGGGGCCCGTCCCTGGCCCAGATGGCCTCTGCAGGAGCTCTGACCCCTGTCCCCTCCCTGCGCAGGGTGGATCTTCGGTGAGCGTCTGCACGACCAGGAGAGAGGCTGGTTCCCCAGCTCCATGACTGAGGAGATCTTGAACCCCAAGATCCGGTCCCAGAATCTCAAGGAATGTTTCCGTGTCCACAAGATGGATGACCCTCAGCGCAGCCAGAACAAGGACCGCAGGAAGCTGGGCAGCCGAAACCGGCAATGACCCCCGCCAGGGCCGCCACCTGGCAGGGGGCTGTGGGCAGGCGGGGGTGGGGCCTGGCAAGCGACCCCGACGGCCGGTGGAGGGCTCTGGGGAAGGACAGGTCAGCGCCTCCCCAGGCAGTGGGATGTGCCTCGGGGGCCAGCCCTCCTCCTGCCCACGCGGTGAGTGCTCGTGTGTCTTGGCCCCTCACTCGCAAACTGGACGAAGGCTGCCCACGTCTCCTGATGTGCGTGCGCACGAGCAGAAAGTGTATTCTAAGCAGTGTTACACCACCTCTCTCTTGTCTCTTAGAGGGGTGGAAGGGGGTGGGCAGGCTCCAGGGCCTTTCCAGGGACTGGGAGAGGCCCCAGACCCAAGGTGTCCCTGGCGGGGGCAGGCAGACAGGATTGTCCTGATCCCCTGCACGTGTCCTTCTCTACCTTGGAAGCCGTCAGCATCCACCAGGCACGCAGAGGGCCGCCCTCTCCTCAAAGAGCTTGACGAGCGGCCCTTGGTCTCCGATACACAGCACCGAGAGCCCAGCCGCCTGTGTCCACCCCTCCCATGCCTTGGCCGGCCTCTGGCTGCACGGCTGGGCCCTGCCCCACGGCAGGCCCCCAGAGCTTGGCTGAGGGCCCACGCCACCTCTGGCTCCCCTTGGGCTGGATGTAACTCATGTCTTCTGGCCCCTGAAGGAGCCCAGGTGTTTTAAGGAATGAATTGGTCACTGCATCTTACATTGGTTATGGTTATGAGAAGAGCAAATATCACTGCATTGGCTGCATTAAAAGAAGCATCATGTATAAAATAAAGGAGATGAAGGTCTACTCTTTATTGCCCTGGTGCACACAGGAAGGAGGTGTTTAGTTCTGGGCAGGGAGTCAAGGCCAGTGCAGAAGGCATGTCCCAAAGGATGGGGCGCAGGGTTGGGTCTCACAATGGGAGTAGACTCCGGCCTCCACCTGTGGAAGGACTCCAGAAACAGAAGGGGCTGTTTGAGGGAGTTGGGGATGCCCTCCTGCTGCAGAGGAAGTGACCACAGATTTGGAAGACCACACAGGCACTGAGGGGTCAGTGGGCGGTGGTCCCACAGGGGACCTGACTGCAGGCATGGGGCTGGGATCCTGGCCTTGGGCATTTCTTCCCACCTCTGGTAGTAGACTGTTACCCAGAGGCTGCAGCTCCTCCCGGGCCCAGGTGGCCCTCACAGCCAGCTCCACCCTGGTGCTGTCCCAGAGTGTTGAGGGCACCCTGTGCCTGGGACGCTCTCTGCCAGGACACCCTTCCCCCCACACCAGAACAGGCCTTGCTTTAGATCCGGTGGGACTTGGTAGCATCTTCCCACGGGGCCACAGCATGGCTCCTGGTGTTCTTGAGACCACAGACCCTTTGGGCTTCCATGAGTCCCTGGAAGGACGGGGACACCTGCCATGCTGGTTCAGCTGTGGAGGGCGGCGCCTGGTCCCAGTGAGGGGCTCATGCCCTTGGGGCCTCTGTGCTGCGTCCTGGGGGGAGCACCTGCACCTGAGTCCCCCAGGAGTGGGGGAGGCGGGGGGGGGCATTTCTAATCCCTGTGGGATGGGGACTTGCGACAAGGAGTTGGGGTGGCCACTGGCCTGGCCCTTGCTCCCTACGGTGGGAACCAGCCTACTGAGTTGGGGCACCTGCTCTTTGGAAGGCTTTGGCTACTCAGGGTTAATATGCAAAGAAATAAGCGGTTTATGAAAAGTGGTCAGTTTTATAACACTGCTTTATAAGCACAACCTCTCAACCCGTGACGTGTTTGGGGGCTTGGAGTGGAAAGCTGTTGGCAGAGCCCCCACCCACGTGCGAGGAGACTGGAGGAGACTGGTCATGGCGGGAAAAGGTGTCTCGGGGAGCTGGGGGAGGGCACAGAGCTCTGGCTTTAAAAAGCAGAGGAGGAGGAACTGCTTCCCCGCCCGCGTTCCCTGCTCACAGGGGTCTTCAGGGGATTAAACCCTCACCTCCGGGACTGGGGGGTTGCGGGATTCCTAACAGGGCCTCCTCCCGGCCTCAGCTCCACAGGCCCGGGGTGGGACGGGGCCGGAGTTCCGGCTTCCCGCTCACCCGAGGCAGGGCAGTCACGACTTTTAACCTCAAATTATCAAAGTTACGCTTCCGGGGTGGGGTGTGGACGGGGCGGCCCCCACAACCCCCGTGAGGTGAGCTGAGCTCAGAAAGGAGTTTGGTTCTTTCCCTCAGCAAGGGGCGTCCGCGCGGGGACAGAGCGCGGCGTCACCCGCCCCGTCCCGCGCCGGGGTCAGAGGTCCCGGGGCCCTGGCGCTGCAGGCCTGGTTCTGAGCTCGCAGGCGGGCCGGGGCGGCCCCCTCAGTCAGAAGACGCCCCGGCTCCCCAGATAACCCGGCCTCGGGTTGGGAGCCCCGAGGACCCGCCCTCCTCCACCTCCCCGCCGGCTCCAGGAGCCGGGTAGTTCTGCCGCCCGCGGCCGCCCCTCAGAGCGGGAGGGGGCGGGGCGGGCAGGCGAGGCGCGGGAGGGGCCGCGCGGCCGTGGCCTGCTAAGAGCGCGCGCCGCGCACGCCTCCGCCCCCGGCAGCCCAGCGCGCGCTCCCGCGGGAGCCCGGGCCGTAGCGCACCGGACGCGCACTCACGCGCACATCCCCCGCGCGCGGGCTCCGGCACGCCTGGCACGGCGCGCTCCCGCTGGCGCGGACGCACGCACGCGCGGACACACGCACGCGGGAAGTGCAGCTGAGTCGCGCCGCGGCCGGGCGCGGCCCCTTTATTCGCTTCAGGAGGCAGAGAACTTTCTCAGCGCGACGACCACGAGCGCCAGCACCACGCACGTGGCCAGGAGGGCGGCGATCACGATGGCCGCGATGGCGCCGGGCCCCAGCGAGCCTGCGGAGGACGGAAGACGAGACGAGTCAGCCGGGGCCCGCTCGCCGCCCTCCCGCCCGCCCGCCGCCGCCCGCCGCCCGCCGCGTACCGCCGCCCTGGTCCAGCCGCTCCCGCGCCGTGCTGTCCTCGGGGCCTGGCGCGGCCGTGGAGGCCGGGGGGCCGGTGTCCGCGGGCTCCCGGCCCGGGCTGGTGCTCTCCAAGGGGCCTTCTCCCGACGGCAGCTCGGCGGGCTCGTTCCACAGCGTGGGCACGGGCTCCTGCGGGCCCTCGGCTGCAAAGCCAAGGACAGGCGGTGGGGCCCAGGCGACAGGGCACGGGAAGTCATTCCCCCCAGGTCATCTAACTTGGCGGGAGGACACCAATGGGCTGTTGCCCGGACCCCCTACTGGCCAGGCTGCCCCAGCCCATGCGAGCACAGCTTCACGGAGGGGGCAGGCGGGTAAAGGGACCAACAGGCCTCTGAGAAAGGCTGCGGGAGCCCCGGGCTGGCCGCAGAGGCAGGGGACTTGGCCCCAAGCCCCAAGCCCTTCAGCAGGGGCTCGGCCTCCCCATCTGAACTGCGGGGCTGAGTGGGCCTGAGCTAGGTGACATTTGTGAGGGACCCCTGCCACCGCAGGGCGGACACAGGTCAGCCTTCACCCTGGGGAAGAGGCTGGGGACGCTGAGTGGAAAGGAGAGGAGCAGGGCCCAGGGGCACAGGCAGCCCTGCTTCTCCTGGGGCCATCCCCACCAAGTGCGCAGCCCACAGGACATAGGGCCAGCACATGGCTGCCTCCTGAAGGACAGGGCCGAAGGTGGGGAGGGGGGTCTGTGGTCAGTAAGGGAGGCTGAGGCCCTGTGCAGCCTTTCCTGCAAGAGCCCTTTTTGGGCCACGTGGGAGTTAGCAAGGTTTAGGGTACCCAGGGACCCCAGAAAGCAGGAAGTGCAGGATGAGAGGCCTGCGTGGCAGCCCTGCCCTCTGCCCCCACCAGCCAGCCAGGGACAGTTGTGCACCCCACCCCACACGGCCTGGCCTCCACTAACAGCACCACCACCCCCAGGCCCATCTGTCCTTCCCAGATGACCAGACAGGAGGCCCCAGAAACCCAGTAAAGCTCTGGGCCTCTCCAGCCTGACTGACGACTTAGCAGGGTCAGGCCACGCTGTGATCCAGGGACACGCATCCTCAGGCAGGTCCTTAGAATAGGCTTAGGGGGTGTCACAACACACCCTCAGTGGCCTCCGGCTACTCTGGTGTGGAAACTGTTTTTATCCCCGTTTCAGAGCCAAGAAAATCAAGGCTCAGGTGAAGCTAAGGTGGGCCACGGTGGGAAGTGCTGGTGGGGTCCGAGCCCCTGGACGGTGCCGGTGTGCCTCCCAAGGCACATCCAGGGAAGTTTCGGTTCTGTTAACTCAGAATGCTGGTAATTAGGAAATCTAGGTGAAGGGTCTCCTGGAGTTCATTCGATTATTTTTGCAACTTTTCTGTGAATTTAAAATCTTTTTCACAATAAAATTTTACCTGGTCCCCGGGTCCCCAGGCCCTGCCCCTGCAGCCTCTTCCAGGCCTGGACAGGTCAGTTCTCAGGCTCAGCTTGCAGGCAGGGACCACAGTCACCTTCCCCAGGGATTGCCTAAGCCTGGACCCCTTTTCGGAAAAGACCACTGGAGACTAGGTGCAGTGGCTCACGCCTGTGATCACAGTAAGGAAGACTCGCTTGAGGCCAGGAGTTTGAGACCAACCTGGGCAACAGAGATCGTCTCTACAAAAAAATTTAAAAATTGGCTGGTGTCATGGCAGGACCTGTAGTCCCAGCTACTCGGGAGGCTGAGGTGGGAGGATCGCTTGAGCCCAGGAGTTGGAGGTTACAGTGAGCTATTTATACTATTTATACCACTGCACTCCAGCCCGGCGGACAGAGTGAGACTTTGTCCCTAAATAATAAATAAATAAATAATGCAAGACCCCTGGCAAGGAGGCCCTCAGGGGTGGAAGACCCGTTGGTGCCAAGTGAGGGGAGGCTGCCATGCCAGCCTCCCGTCAACCTCAAAGACCACCCTTCAGGAGGGAAAAGTGACCCAGCCAGGCCTCCCATGTCACGGCCAGGGGAAAAGGGGTCTGCAGCCTCCTGGAGGCTGGGCAGAGAAAAGGCCTGAGTGTGCCCACTATTTTGCAGCCCCGAGCTCTGGGGCTCACAGGCCGCTTGTCTCCCGGAGAAATGGACAAACCGCCGCCCCGCTTGCTCACCGCATACCCAAGACGGACTGACAGGCAGGCACCTCCCTGTCCTACCACTGCCGGCATCCGGCCAGGGAGGCCGCCACATGTCTCCTGGGTACCAGGCCCAGCCAACCTGGGTGGCGTCTGTGGGACTCAGCCCTGAGCTCAGGAGGGGGAGTGACAGGCCCCTGAGAGAGCAGGGCTCACTCCCCAGAGCCAGCCGAGCCTGGCAAGCACCCCCCCCCAGTGAGGGGAGAGGGCCCCCTGAGCAGGCAGGTGGGAGCCCCACCCCAGCCCCCGCCTCTCCCTGCTGCTCCTCAGCGCAGCCCTGACCACCACCCCCTCCTGCCCCCTTCTGCCCAGCCAGTCCCGGAGGTTGAGGGGCTAGACCCAGTGACTTTCAAACCGGGAGGGCTGGGTCCTGTCCTAGTTCTATCACACTCTGGGACCCCAGCAGACTGACCTCACCCCCCTGGACTCCACCTTCTTGACCCGTGGAGCAGGGTTCAGAGCCTGCCTCCCAGGCATCTGGCACAGAAAGGTAACTGCCATCATCACCAACTCCAGCTGCTGCCTCTGCCCTGGGGGACATGTCTGGACACAGCAAGCTGCTCTGTGTGCTCGGTGTCTGCTGCCGCTGGCCAGTCACAGGAGACCCTCAAAGGCTGGTCCAGGGCTCATCTGCAGCCAGGCTCCAGGGGCCAGCCAGCTCCCTGCACACCCAGGCTGGTGCCCCAGTGGCAGACACACGAGCAGAACCACAGCCTGAACATAGCCACCAGCCCCCCAGCCAAGGAGGCGCAGCTGCTGGGCAGGGCCGAGGCCGGTTCTTACCCCACCTGCATCTCTGCGCGTGCTGTAATAAGAAGGCGAGACATCCCTAGGTCCAGTTAATGTAAAATATATATAAAAAAAAAAAAGGCGAGACAAGGCTTAGGGCAGCGACCCATCCTCCCCCCAGGTCCATCCTCCTGGGAGGCCAGGAACAGAAGCAGCTGTCAGCCAACCTCTGCAGGAGGCCCCAGCCCGGGAGGGGTGAAGGCACAGAGGACAGAACCGTGGGCAGGTCAGGTGAGCAGTGACAGGCAGGGGTGACAGAAAGTGAGGGTGGAGAAGGGTAGGCCACAGAGGCCCCTGAGGAGGTTCCATCGGCCTTGGCCGTGCAGAGACCTGACTCCATGGACCAGGTGAGTGACGTGGTGCAACTACGCGCTCTGAGGCCACCAAGGGAAGTGGGGCCTGGGCACCTCGGGCTCTCCCCTGTCCCCACTGCCCCTAGCCGCCTTGCCTTTTGGTAAATAAGTTTGTTCAACGCTCAGTCTGACCACAGGGCCTGAGGCAGGCGCCCTCGCTCACAGACGGCCTTTGTGCGGCCGTGAAGGGCCTTTTCATCCCTGCCCTGGCCTCCCGCCCGCTCAACCTGGCCTGCCCCCCTCTGTAGCTGCGGCCACAGGCACCCAGTGGGGAGGACAGCGGCCAGGCCTGGGCCTCAGCCCACGGGCCACTCCTGTCCTGTGTCCTCTCCACGAGCAGAGGGCCTTGCACACTCGCTCAGAGTCCTAGCCTGGGGGCGGGGTCCCGAGAGCCTCCCAAACACCCTCGCCCCCAGAACAGCAAGAACAACAACAACCAGAACCCCAGGGACTGCGGGTGGGGTTGGCGTGCTCTGGCGCCATGCCTGCCTGCTCTTGGTAGGACCTGTGGCGGGAAGAGAGGAGGTGAGGCCAGGTGAGGTCCTGGCTGTCCCTAAAGCACCCTGTGGCGGCAAAGCCCACCCATCCGCGTTGTGTACGTACAGTCTGACCCAGGGCCCCTGGCCAGTGGCCTGGGCTGGGCGAGTTGGCTACTCAGGAACAGAAACCTGGCAGGAGCCACCAGGCAGCCGCAGGTCCCAGGACAGGAGCCAGTGCCTTGGCCTCCACTCAGTGGGACGCCCTGGCAGTTTTGCTGGGGTGGAGGCGGCTGCGAGGATCACAGCCCCAAGACCCAGGCGGTGGAAGACACCTTCTTCCACTTTAGATCACTACCCCAGTTCCTGGGGCACCTCCCGCCAGAAGGAGGGCCGGGCACCTTCCCAGCCTGCAGGAGGAGGCAGTTGCCCCAGAGTCCACCCTGCCTCAGTGGAGAGCTGCGCTACTAAAGATACGCTCCCCTAACGTTTGCCGCGTGCTGACCAGATGCCCGGCCCATCCTGAAAGCTCTGCTTGTCTGCACTCAGGCCCCAGGCCCCTGCGAGGAGGGCAGAGCATGGCGGGCGTTGCCATCTGACAGATGAGAGAAGGCACAGAGAGGTTAAGAAACAGCCAGAGCCCAGCACAGTGGCTCACGCCTGCAATCCCAGCACTTTGGGAGGCCAAGCCAGGAAATGGCTTGAGGCCACGAGTTCGAGACCAGCCTGGGCAATGTAGCGAGACCCTAGCTCTACTAAACGAAACAAAAAAAGCCAGCCAGGTGGGGACCCAGCCAGAAGCAAACCCAAGCCACAAGCTTCTTCCTGGGCCATCTAGGGAGGGGCCCACAGGCCCAGGGCTCCTCACCAGCACCTATGCCTTCCCGCTCTGTGTGGCTGGGGGCCCCAACCTGGGAGGGGGGACCACCAGGCCTCACATCTCTCAGAAGCTCTCCCCAGGCCACACTCTCAAGACTGAGGTCCACTTCCGTCCCTCGCACACCCACAGACACTCCCCAAGGCCCAGGCTGCCGGGGCCTGGGCCCCTGTCCCTCCTGGGACACGGGCAGGCTGCGCTTTGCCTCACTCCTGGCCACGGAGAGTGCTGTCCTCCAGGAGCAAAGACCACCTGTGCCCCATCTGTGCCTTTTCTCTCTCTGGCTTCCAAGCTAGCCCGGGCCAGTCCCTCCCAGCCCAGGGCCCCCAGACCTGGCCATTTTAACCTCCGTCCAGAGCTAAGTACAGCGCCTGCACTGTTTCGAGGAGAGATTTGGGGACCTGTGCTCTCTCTCTGAAATTTTTCCTGAGATGGGGACAGTACCTGGGTCTTCATTCTCTAAGGACATTGCAGAAAACCAGTAGGGAGGCTTTGAAAAGTAACCAGCTCCGTGCTCTTCCACACAGGGTCCTGGGCCCTGTGCCTAGTGTCCCTCCTGCCCCCCAGACCTGGGAGCCTTCGGGTTTTAGAGTGTTAGCGTATTCCCACGTCCCCTGCCAGCTAGACGTCCCTGTCTTGTTCCCTAAGTCATCCTCCTACTTCAGATGTGATCGCCCCTCTGGCTAACGGTTCCCTGAGACATCCATCCTGCACAGCTGCTGCCAGCCGGTCTCGCGGAGACTCTTCGCAGCATCACCCCAAACAGCCATCCCGCCTCCTGCAAGGGCTTCTGCCACAGTGGGCATTGGAGAATCCAGCCCCACGGTAGTTTCTGACCCTGGGAGGCTGGTGGCAGCAGAGCCAAGGCCCCATGCCCCTTACCTGTGAGCACCGCGGGGGCCAGGACCCCGGAGATGAGCAGCAGCGCCATGTGCAGGGCCAGACAGGATGCCATCCTGGCCGGGAGTGAGCGCAGCCGGCTGGCGGGACGCACAGAGGACTGAGTGGCTAACTTCAGGGCAGCGGGAGAGAGGCATCAAAGGTCTGGGAAGGGTTTTCATCAATGCAAACTCTGTCCTCCTGGGACACCGTGCCCCCCCACGCACGCGCAAACACACGCTACACCCACACACACACACACACACACCACACACACAACACAGCGAGGCTTACAGCACAGACCTGCTTTCCTGAACTTGGGAGCAGCCCCACCCTCGAGAGGGAAAGAGGAAATCGCACTCACTCTCTCTCTCTCACTCACACACATACCACACACACACACATACACATACACCCCAGACCACTGAAAGTGAGAGGTTTTCAAACTGCCTTGTGAGGAAATCACCCAGGGAACTGAGAAATGCAGATGCCTCCGGCCACTCTGTCTCGGGGGGTCTCGGATGGGCCGGGGGTCTGCATGTCAGTGCCTGGTCCTGGCACGAGCATGAGTCCGGGAGACTCGGTCCCAGGCAGTCAGCGCTGGTCCTGGGCTGGGCTCTGCTCACGTTTGGGTTCTCCGTGCCTGGCCAGGAGCTCAGTGGTTGGTGCTTGTTAAAGAAGCACTTTTAAAACAGTTTAGGTCCAAAACGTCTAGCAGCGCCAGTCTTTCCAGAAAGGTCATGTCATTCATGTCCCCTCTTTTTTTTTTTGAGACAGAGTCTTGCGTTGCTGCCCAGGCTACAGTGAGTGCCGTGGCATCAGGCTAGCTCACAGCAGCCTCAAACTCCTGGGCTCAAGCAATCCTGCTGCCTCAGCCTCCCGAGTAGCTGGGACTACAGGCATGCGCCACCATGCCCGGCTAATTTTTTGTATATATATTAGTTGGTATGTGCTGAAGTCTTATTGTGGTTTTAATTTGCATTTCTCCTGATAAAACAGAACACCTTTCCATATTTTTTGACCACAGGAATATCCACTTTTGTGAAGGGTCTGCTTGATTTTTTGGCCTATATATTAGGGTGGTTTATCTTTTTATTTTTAGGAGTTGTTTTTAATTATCACCAATAAAAATCCTTTGTCATGGCGGTGGCTCACGCCCGTAATCCTAGCACTCTGGGAGGCTGAGGCGGGCGGATAGCTCGAGGTCAAGAGTTCGAAACCAGCCTGAGCAAGAGCGAGACCCCTTCCCTAATATAAATAGAAAGAAATTAATTGACCAACTAATATGTATAGAAAAAATTAGCTGGGCATGGTGGCGCATGCCTATAGTCCCAGCTACTCAGGAGGCTGAGGCAGGAGGATTGCTTGAGCCCAGGAGTTTGAGGTTGCTGTGAGCTAGGCTGACGCCACGGCACTCACTCTAGCCTGGGCAACAAAGTGAGACTCTGTCTCAAAAATAAAAAAGATTAAAAAATCCTTTGTCAGATATATGTAATGGTGCCTTCAGATGAAGTGTTTTGTTTTTTTGTTTTTTGTCTGTCTCCACCCTGCGACGGCAAGTTCTAAGGCAGTTCACCAATGCACTCCCAGAACCTAGCACCATGCCTAGACTGCAGCAAGAACTTAACATTTGAATCCAGTTAGTTGGGGCTTCTGAAATAGATTTAACACTGAGTATTTTCTTACTTGTTCAGTCACTCGTTGGTTTGCTCTCAGCCCCGCCATCCTCTCCTTTCTGAGCCCTGAGATGTAATGTGACGTCTCGGAGGGTCAGATCCCATCACACTCCTGACATTTCCTTGCTGGCCGACTTCCTGCCAGGGGGAGGGGAGCAGGGGTGACTCCACTTCAGATTTCTAACAATGTCTCCGGTGGCAGCAGCAGCACTGGCTAAACTAATGTCAGTGACAAACGGTCAGGTGGTGGCCGCTGCAGGGGCAGCCACAGGGGGCTGGAAGTATAGGCTCCCGGATCCCCCTCAAGCCACTGAGCTGAGTCCAGGAGCCTTAGTGGATGGTGTTCTGGCCTCCAGTAATTTCTGCTCCTCAGCCCAGCATGGTGTCCATTTCCTAGTTAGCCACTAATTTTTTTTTTTCCCTCAAGCCACTAATTTTTGAGCAAACTTTCCTTCTTTCTTTTGCATCTTCAGTCCTGTAAACATCATTGTAACAAATTCCTGTCTTAAATCTGTTTGAAATACCTTGAGTGGTCTCTATTTCTTGGTCAGACTCTGACCAGTACAGTATTGCTTCCTGGAATGGTCCCAGAAAACAGACCCTCAGGGATCTGTTTCTGGCTTGGTTCACCACTCTGAGCTTGAATGAACACTGCCAGTGGAAAATGAGTTGCTGGCAATATATACGGCATGCCATACACTGAGACTTGTGGTTGGTTAGCATGAAGTATCTATTGAAGACAAGGTTTAAAGGACCAAGTGGATGCTGCATTTGACGTTTTTGGTGGTGATTATGATCAAAAGTATAGCGAACTGGCTAATTTTTACTGTATTAGGTGCTCACAGAAAGAAAATGACAATTACACAATGATAGTTGTGGGGAAAAAAAGAAAATGACAAGCTCAGGGCTTAAATTCTAAGGCTAGGGCATGATCAGAGAACTAGAGCATTTCTATAGCAGTCTTTTAAAAGTATCTTTTCTTATAGCAACAGAGCATAATTGGCTACAAATCAGTACTAAAATTTAACTGTGCATGTTGCAGAATTCCAAGGTTAAGTTGAATTCTTGGCCTTGCCTATTCTTTGTAGGTGAGATTTAAGGCACTGATTGGGAAGGAGTGAGATCTTGAGATTTGGAATGGGGATATTTGAACAGATCAAACAAATCTGAGAATCTTCCACCCACAAATCCTCAGGCTTCCCTTGCAGAAGCAGCAGGCACTTCTTTTCTGTTCTTGTCTGAATAACAACCTCACCTGTTAGGTTCCCTTGCAAGAGATTGCCTGTTCTCAAGACCCACCATGACAACCTCTCTCTGTCTCATGTCCATAGCCACAGCAAGATATCAGCATTTCCAGGGAGAACAAACACAAAGTCTGACTTAGGAGGAAGTAAGTACAAACTAACACTATTATTAATTTATGCTAGCAAGAAATTAGTAACTAACGATAAAGATATAAGATAATGCCAATTTGTATTAATAACAACCTGGTGTAGGAATGAATTCTAAGGTGTGAGATTAAATGGACAGGATGTGAATATGACACTCGATCAGGCCACATTGATAGGGGTGTGCTTAGCGGAGATTCTGCATTCAACATTTCAGCTCAAGCATCTAGGAGTTGCTCTAACAGTTTGGTTGGGTGGGTGACCAAAGCCTAGGCTCAATAGCAACCTAGATGCATTGAGATTGAGAAGCCTGACTTAACGAAAAGGAGGGAAGCCAAAGGCTTGGGAAGAAGGGAATGTTGCGGTGGATTTATCTTAGGTGATTCACCAATCCCAAAAGTTCTTGGTAGATCCCTAAGTATACTCTCTTCACTGAGGCATTGAGAAATGCTTGGTTAGGAGAAGAGCAGCATCTTTAAAAATACACATGGTGCCTGTTCTCTGTAGGCCAGGGCTGATGATGGGATCACTGATTTCAGTGTGATTCTGAAGCAGCAGAGGCCAAGTGGCAGCACTGAACTGCTGGAGGCAAGGCGGGTGCAAACACTGCCATGGATGGTATCCTAGGATTGAGCAAATAAGGGAATATTGAGGATAAGGGGAGCCAGGTTTCTCACTATTAGACAAGGGAACTACAAACATGGAAAGGAGAAAGATTAGAATGGATCCTGTGATGTTGCAAACAACTTGTGGTACATACGAATATGTAGATATAAAAATATATGTTATCTGTACATATATATGCATAAACTCCCTATCTGTGAACACAATCTAGAAGCAATGACAGTCCAGTAGCTATGAGCACACCCAATACCCAGATTATGATTTCTAGACACCATTCCCCACTAAAAGGAACCAGGGCTCCTTGGGAAAATGGTTAATTCCATAACTGAGAAAGGAAAAGTAGATGATGAGCCTGGAATATCTCAGGCCAAAGTAAAAAAAGAATGATGGAGATATGGCAAAAGAACACAGAAACCAGCTCTGAATGGACAATTTGTATAAGAAAAATAGTATCAGATTATGGCTGATATATCGTGGGTATGCACATATGTATGTATAAACATTCTGCTATCTTCCTTATAGCAGAATGTTGACTAATAAGCATAAAAAGAATGCTTGGCAAACACCTTAGTAATAACTGTTCAAGTAAGAACCATCAATGAAGGCTGGGCATGGTGGCTGATGCCATAATCCTAGCACTTTCAGAGGCCAAGGCCAGAGGATCGCTTGAGCCAAGAGTTTGAGACCAGCCTGGGCAATCGGGAGGCTCCATTGCTACATAAAATAAACAAACTAAAAAAATTAACCAGACGTGGTGGTGTGCACCTGTAGTCCCAGCTACTCAGGAGGCTGAGGCAGGAGGATCACTTGAGCCCAGGAGTTGGAGGATGCAGTGAGCCATATTGACACCAATATAGCAAGCTCAAGCCTGAGCAACTGAGCCAAACCCTATCTCAAAAAAAAAAAAAAAAAATCATCAATGGATGATGAAACTAATAGGTTTGATGAGGAAATGGATATTTACATAGTCTCAAAGTGTCTCCCATAAAGAGAAAAATCATCACTGGACAGTGGGAAACCTGGCAGACGCCATCTAAACCAACTAATTAAAGTTAACATCACCAGTAATGGTTCAAACTGACATCATGTGTCTCCTGATATGCTGAACTGAGAACATCACTTCTGTAGTATTCCTGATAAAATCACATAATCACAATCAAATCATGAGAAACCATCAGACAAATCCAAGTTGAGGGCATTCTGATAAATAATTGTCTTCTGCGCTTAAAAACATCAGGGTTTAAGATTAAGGCAGACTGAGGAATTGTTCCAGAGACTCAAAAAACATGACAATTAAATGCAAAACGTTATCATGGATGATATCCTACACCTTTCTGTTTTTCCTTATAAAAGATATTAGTGGAACAACTGGTAAAATATGAAGCATGGATATTAAGAGTATTGTATTGATTTCCTAATTTTGATAACTGTACTGTGGTTATATAAGAGAATGTCCTTGTTTTAAAGAAACACACCCTGAAGTGTTTTAAGAATAAGGGACATAATGTGTACGACTTATTATTCTCAAATGGCTCATAAAAAATGTTTATCTTGAGAGTATAGTTGAGAGAAAATGGATATGGTAAAATGGTAACAATTACAGACCTTGGGTGAAGGTTACATGGAAGTCCTTTGTACTTACTGTTGCAACTTTTAAGTTTGAAATAAATTCAAAATAAAAAGCCCCCCTCCCTATCAAAAAAAAAATCACAATTTTTCAATGACTAATTGAATAACAGATCCAGGCAATGATCATCAGGGAATGTTAAAACTGCCGCATATAAGAGCAATAGGACTTCTAAAATGGATAATCAACCTGATAGCAACAGAACTAAACTCTGACATAAGTAAAAATGGGACAACCAGATAACACTGCGTACCATGTGACTATGACACAGCAGGAAGGACACCAGGCCACCAATATTCTTGCAGGGGGTGCGGCAGGGAGACCCTTTATTTAAGTAAATTCTCTAGATCTGACTAGTAATTTATAGAAAAATGCAGGGGATATGAAGAAATTCACATAAGGAAACTCTCCGCTAAATTCTGGAATATGGAATGTTCTGTGAATAAATAATCCAGTTTTTCAACCTTTTTTTTTCCTTGATGGGGAACTGTTAAGACTAAAAGTGACTTAAATACATCAATTAGATGCAATAAACATCATTTTGATTTTGATTCAAACTTTGTAAAAAGACACTTTTGAGACGATCTGAGAAAGTCATCCACAGACTGTGTGTTGTTAATGTGATAAGGAATTGTGGGGTGTTTTTAAGGTATCCTTCTGTTACCATGCACGTTGAGATACTTAGGAGTGACATATCTAGAATTTGTTTTAAAATATTCTAGGCTGGGTGTGGTGGCTCACGCCTGTAATCCTAGCACTCTGGGAGGCCAAGGCGGGAGGATTGCTCGAGGTCAGTTCAAGAAAAGCCTGAGCAAAAGCGAGACTCTGTCTCTACTAAAAATAGAAAGAAATTAATTGGCCAACTAAAAATATATAGAAAAAAATTAGCCGGGCATGGTGGTGCATGCCTGTAGTCCCAGCTACTCAGGAGGCTGAGGCAGAAGGATTGCTTAAGCCCAAGAGTTTGAGGCTGCCGTGAGCTAGGCTAACACTACGGCACTGTAGCCTGGGCAACAGAGTGAGACTCTGTCATTTATTCATTCATAAATAAATAAAATATTCTAACAGAAAAAAGGTGGGCTAAATACAACAACATGGGCAAAATGTCAACAGTTGTGGAAGCTGGGTTATATTAGGTATGAGTTTGTTACACTAATCTCTACATGTTTGAATTTTTCCTAAAAGATAAAAACTGACCTTTGGAAAAAACTTACTGAAGATGAGAGCAACCGAACGATCTCAGGACTGCTAAAGATTCAGAACCCTCAGGGATGAAGGTTCAGGTCAACCAGCAGATGAGGGGCTGGCAGAGGGCTAATGAATTTGGAATAAGATGTTAAACCAATCTCACTCACAGCCTCGGGACCAGGTACAGAAACAAGACCTGTAGCAGCTATGTATATTTTATTCCTTCTTGTAAACACATACATATTTGTAGATAAGTTTTCTCTACTTTCCCCTATTGATTTATATATAATTTATTTTTAGGAAATCAAAGAGAGGTGAGACTGTAAGTGAACTAGTAGCAGCACCTAGAAATGGGCATAAAGACTGATGGATGGGACCAGTGGACTCAAGTGTTAGCAGTTCCCCTACCTTATTAATCTTTCAGTAACCTTACCTTCCATTCTGCCCTCAACGCTTCCAACAGATTTTCTTCCTCCTTTTTCTTTTTTCATTTCTTTTGATTATGTAAGGTGATTTCTGTCTCATGATGGGGCCCTGACCTGTTTAAGGCTCCATTTCATGTTTCAAAAGTCAGAAAATCCAGGTAGGTGATTCTGTCCCCCTATACAAGCCTCACCATGCTTGCATTTCAACCTGGACTCTCCTTCAGTAACACTGCAAAGGTCACTTGTCATGCATGGCCAAGGTGCCAAGTGGCAGCAGTCACTGCTGCACACGTGACGCACACACACACTAGGAGGTTAGAGCTGAAGGAAACATCCTAGATCAGCCAGGCTGCTGGGTGTGCACTCAGGCCATCCATTTAGAATCACTTAGAGGGACTCAATCAAGATGGTGGACGAGAAATACCGCCAGACAGAGGGTCTCTGCAGAATAGAATCACTTAGAGATCTTAAAAATAATTTCCAATGGAGCCTCACCCACATTAGAAACCCTGGGACAGGGGTCCTCAAACTTTTTAAACAGGGGGCCAGGTCACTGTCCCTCAGACCATTGGAGAGTGTGCACTGTGGGCCCGGTAGCAGGACAGGCAGTGGTGGCAAAAACACCCCGAGGGCTGGATAAATGTGCTAGGCGGCCCGCATATGGCCCGTGGGCCGTAGTTTGAGGACGCCTGCCCTGGGACATGGAGCTTGGAGATTCATTTTTATTCTAAGTTCCTCAGATAATCTGGGCCAACCCCTCATCTGACAGGCAAGGAAACTGACACTCAGAGACAGGACAGGAAGGGCTGGTTAATAAGGATGCTGGCACTAGCATGCAGCCTCCTGGAACCCACACCACATTGCTCCCTGAGGGTTACTTCTTTGCACTCATTTTAAGACGTCTAAGAAGGTGGTTACCTTGATTTAATATGCCCAGGTCCCTGAGCCACCATGGGGCACGTTGGATTGCTGACCTCCAATTTCACTTGAGAAATAACTATCTTAGTCATTGTTACTTTGTGTCTTCTGTTACATGCAACCAAACCTAATACTAACCTACTGAACATTTCTCATGCTAAAGGAGGAATTCAAAGGAAAAAGCAATTTGCTGCCAAGGAACTAATCTACCATGTCTACA